GTGACATTTTCAAAAATTGAAGGGTTGTTACATGCATATTAAGCTAGAGTATGGCTTGAATTTAATGAGAAATACTACAGTCTCGTTATAGAATCATTCCGTCGAAATTTATAACTGTTAGATTATCATAAAACCGTCGTGGATAATTGATCTAACGGTTATAATTGATCTACTTTAATAGTTATAAACCCCGACGAAATAATTCCGGGACCATAGAATCTTAAAAATTTAATTACTAAAGTTTGTAATGCTTGAAAATTTGAATTTTGACTCGTTAATTTATTAATTTTGAGGTAACATTGCACGTGGTACAATTTTTTTTTTTAAAAAAAATGTCCTCATTTATTAGTGTTTTTCCTTAACACGTATAGACGATCATTAATTAATTAATTACTTATGGACAGTGGTCTTCTTAATTAATTAGTCGTGTTCAAGTATTAAAGTGTACCAAATCCATTGGCCGATTAAAAGTATTGGCATCTGAACACAGAAATATTCTTTGGAGAGGACGTCAAATATATACATATAAAATATTAGTATGAGGTTAAGATTGTAATTAATTTTAATTTAGGTTGGACACATGCACGTGCAATTAAATTTATTAAAATGTATGAGTCAAACATAATTCATCATAGTCAAATTCAAAATTGTCAAATTATTTGTTTAAAATACTACAAATGTGAATTACTTGTTATTTTTATTAATTAATACTTGTAATATTTGATTATAAAAATAGTTATATATTCGCAACATAACGTATGCTCAGATATGTTGGTGCGATAACTAAACGAGCTCTCGGACTTTTCTCGTTTATAAACATTAACGACTCGAGTTAAGACATAATGAGCTGAATTCGAAGCCGATTTCGAATCATAACAAATTGATCGGTTGTGGTAAAAACTCATATGCTCGACCTTTATTGAGGTATGTCATTTTAACAATTTGAAGTGAGCTCGAGGTCGATTCGTATACTACCAAATAGCACATAAAATAGTCATTAGTCACATATGGAGAGACGTTTCTCAATAAAATTAAGACTTGCATATTAAATTACTAACAAATCATTGGAATTTTGAAAAACCGAAGGTGGTAGCGAAGGCACGTGAGAAGACCATTGGGCCCACACACTTGACTTTTAACCCACATAGGAGAAATTACTTTTCAACGAATAATAATTATTTTTAAAATTTGTTTTTGGCAACTTTTGTCTTTTTATTATTAAACTTTTTATTTTTTTTTTGAAATATTACCAACTTTTGTTAAGGGTCACTTTTTGGGTATCAACTTGGGGCGGATATGTGATACAGGTTGTTGCCTTCAAGTTTCTTGGTGGTCCCATCAATTTTAAGAGCCCAGCCCAGCCCAGGGGATATGTATCTAAGGCCCATTTAGTATTTTTATAATCGCAAGTGTGGAATAGTGGAATAGTTAAATAGGTGTAATAGTTCTGTTTTGCAGTTGACAAATACTAGCTCCTATTCTTTTTAAATGTCATTTTGACATTATCAACTATTAACAAAATAAATGTCGCTTTTAGATATATTGTACACATTTTTCTTTTATTACCCTCATCTAGCTAATAAATACGCTACGTCTTTTTATATTCACTCTTCATCTTTTCTCAAAACATTCATCTCTATCTTCATTAATGAAGATTATTATTGGCAAAAAAAAATATTCTTAATAATTGTGCAACTTCTCAAAACTACACTTATTATGAACATGAGAGGGTATCTTATAGTAATTATTTAATTCGTTTGTGGGATTGATGAGTTTGTATTTATTTATTTATTTAGGAGGAATAAATATTACTCCGTGTTTTTAGAATTAATGCAAACATTATTAGTTTAAATGATGTGGATAGATTTATTAGACTACAATTGTTTATCCATGCTAAACCAATTTAATAGCCAGCTGAGCAAACATCTTGAATAAATAAATAATATGGGATAGGATTTGAAATGCTTTTGTTACAAGTATATTGGGTAAATTGCGCCAAACCCCCTTGTATTATACGAAATTTGCGCCTTATCCCCCTGTATTTTAAAAAATGCGCCATACCTCCTTGTATTATACTTTTGATTGCGCGTTATTTCCTAAACCGTCTAACTTGACGGATGTGCATTTCACGCGCGTGTGGTGCGACTTTTTCTCTATTTTTTTGCCATAAACTCAGGGAAATAACTATTTTGCCCCTTAATACTTGAATTATATTTCACTCCTTTTTCCTGGGCTGAGGGTTCTTCAATCCATTTTCTTCCAAATTGTCTTTCTGCAGTAATTGTGAAGAAGTCGGAGGATCATCAGAGCCAAGAAAAGCGTGCTATTTTTGCCTGAATTTTATATAGAAATCGTCATTCGAGGCGAAGCAATCGCCTCAAGTCCCTGGTGGCGCCGTCGTTCGAGTCCTTCCGGCTGAAGAACGAAGGCAGGCGGGCGGATCTGGGAGACGGCGGCAGGGCGAACGCGGATCCGGCGTAGACGTCGGCCGGCAGTGGCGACCGGATCTGCCTCCGACCCGTAAGATCGTCTGCAGATTTCCTCGGCGGAAGGCTAGGGTTTCCGCCGGCTGCGGGCGGTGGGGCGATCGAGCTCAGCGACTCGCCTCTCCTCAGAATCGTCACCTTTCCCATGGATACCGGGGTCTCAGCTAGGGCTTCAACCCTCCGCCGCGAATTAGGGGCTCCGCCGTGCCGGTGGCTCGATTTCCTCGCCTCCGGCTTCGGGTGGGAGTTCTTCCCGCGGTGCTGCTTTCGGTTAGCAGCAAAGTTACTCAAATTCCCCGCCGCCGCCGGCGAGATTCTCCTGCGTTGGAACGGCGCTGGATGGACTCCGAACCTGGGCCGTAAAACCTCCTGGGGCCGTAAAACCTCCTGGGGTCGTAAAACCTCCGTCGCCATCTAAATCTTTGGAAGAAAAAGAGTGTTCAGATAGATTCCAACTGCAGAAAAATCGAGATTTATGAGCAGAGTATGATTTTCAATTTCCACTTCTTTAGACTTACTGTAATTGTTTGTTTCTGAGGGCATAACGGGAAGTTAAGCAAAAAATTAAAGGGGTTAACACGGAAACGAGGAGGGGGGAGCGTGCGCAATCAAAAGTATAATATAAGGGGGTATGACACATTTTTTAAAATACAGGGGGATAAGACGCAAATTTCGTATAATACAGGGGGGTTTGGCGCAATTTACCCCTATTACTACACTAGACAAAAGTATGTGAAATAAAAATAAAAAAATAAATATATTTTTTTTAAAAACAATAGGATGCACGATAAATAAAAGAGAAACAATAATTAAATTATGAGCAAATGAATAAGTGACGAATAAATTAATTTTAATTTGTATTGTACTTCTATTTGTTATCGATGTTATAAATGAAACGAGTCGGTCGTGACTTGAGCCCGACTCATTAAAGTTAGAGTTCGACTCAAACAAGTCGATCTAGATGGTCCGAGTTTGATTCAATTTGGTTTGTTAAGGTTTCAAAATTATTTTATACAATTTTCTATAGTTTGACTGATAAGATTCGAGCTCCACTGGTTAATTTAAATAAATGAAGCAAGGTGAAGTTTGATTAGTAACTAATTTAGTTAATGAGCCAAGCCAGGCTTGAGTTCAAACTGAAATATAGTAAGCTCAAACTCAACTCAGCTCGTTTAGACGGTACACGTCGGCTCGTTCCATTAGATGATTGGGCTTCCAGTGGTGCTAAGTAATTGTTCTGATAGCCCTGTAATGCAGCCCAATTGGCTTTTCTTTAACATAGTAATAATAACAAAGGAAAGCTAGTGTGTAGCCCGTACGATGCACGAGAAAATAATATTACGATTGTATTATAAATTAAATATATAAATAACATTAATCATGATTTATCAATTGTTTTTAAATTAAACTGGGTTGGACACTGCTGACAGGATGGACCGAGAACCGGTTTATAACCAGTCTTGTTTTGCTACCGAATCTGTCAACACCAGTCGGTTGGACTAGTAGGATCGATACGATTTTCTAAATAAATTTTGTTACATTTAAAATTATTTTAAATAAATACCTATTTAAATAAAATAAGATTTATAAATTATTTATCAATTTGTTTTACATTTGAATTTATAAATTGAATATAAGTAAGACATTGTATAATTTATTGCAAAAAGTACAATATATAAAATTCATTTTAACTGAACTTTCACTTATCAATTCCAATATAATCGATATTATTATTATTATTAAATAATAGTAATCAATCATTCTTACACACCACATCAACTTTAATCCACTATTCATCCACTCAGATAATTTTAAGTAACCATCACTTCAAATCATATCTCTTATACTTTTACATCAAGTCAACTTTAAATATTTTATTGAAATGTATTTAATATACCCACTAAAAACTAAGCATACTACATTTTTCAAAATTAACCAAACAAAACAAAAAAATTCAAACAAAACCAAACAAAAAAATTCAAACAAAACCAAACAAAAAAATTCAAACAAAACCAAATATTTTTTTATATCTATATAGTGTGATCAATCTCTATATTTTGAACTTATTTTTTTAATTTCTTTAAATATTTTTTAATACAATGAACTGATGATGTTGAACAATAGAAGACCAACAAAAAAACATATTAATGACAACTTCACAAAAATCCCTAATAACACAACAAACAATTATAATTATCACAACACATCAATCGAAACACATTTACAACCAATCAACATTGAAACTACATCAAAATACCTTAAAAACCATGAAAGGGCAGCATATATATATATCATTGAGAAGTAATCTAAATAAAACATTAATGTGATCCTGAAAAAAGATCATAATTAAAGACATCTTAATATTTTATTATTAATTGTATGTCGTTTTTATGTTGTTATTACTACACTCACTATTAAATTATTTTTATGTAGTACACCAACTGGATATAAATTTTCTTGTCTACACAAATAAGAAATTAAAGAACCAAAATACACCAAACATGAATGTCAAAATCCAATCAATATTCACGCATCAACAATTAAAATACACCTAATTAAGATGCCAAGATTAAATCAATATTCAATCTTCATATCAAATCAAACATGGAAGATGATCAGATTTAGAGGGCTATAGCCAGAGAGCGCCTCTCAAATTGTCACTATAGATTGTTAAATCTATGGTTTGGGTCGCCGCTCGCGCCGTTAGTCCCTTACGTAAAAAATTTCTAACAACAAGCCACCGATCTAAAACCCCTTTAATGCCCTTTAATCGGTCTGTTGTGCTCGACTCAGTCGCCGCTAATGCCCGTTTCACTATTTGCCATCGGGTTTCTGTCGGGCTTGCAATCGCCGAAGATCACAACCCAATCGACCGTCGTTCACGATTCATCGCCCCTAGTCACCGCCTCATCATCCACCATTGGTAAAACCCTCCACCGCATCACCACCGTCGGTTATCTGTTAGTCGTTAAAATCTCTTCTATCAAATGTACGTAATTATTTATTTGAGTAATGCATCACATATTGAAATTCTAAATTAATGAATGACATATGTAATTTTTTATTGTATAAATATTAATATATATAAGTACTCGTATAGTACACGGGTATCGTACTAGTACTATTATATTTACTAATAATCTATTGATTAAATATTGAAGTTCAGTAC